AAAGGCCAGCTTTACAAATATCCAAAAATCAATTTACCGAAATGAAAAACCCACAACAAAGATGATTGTGGCCACAACAGCCTGAACTTCTTGTTGGAGGAGCACGCCCTTGATCACATCTCTGTTGGACACCAAGACCTGAAGAGTATTGATCTGCTTCCAGCTCTAGTGGATGTTGGGGCCGCGATGGAGTAGCCTGTTATGGCAGCGGAGGATGGCGGAAGAAATCGCGGCAACTAAGATTTACACTTACACATCACACGAACAAATTTTCTTTTAAAATTTTCTCGATTAGGGTTAAAAAATGTAAGAGGAGAAGGTGATTAGGGTGTCAACCGTGGGGGGAGAGGAAACTGTGAGTCGGCATTCACATCAGCCCGCTTCTGCGCCGCCTTGTCCCGTCGCGCTGCCTCCCGAGTTCTAACCGCGCGCCGACAGTCGCCGATGGAACTGTGGTGTCTCCTCGGCTTCATTGTGTATCTCTAAATGCCAAATATCAATCGAGAATTTGAGAAATTGGGACTGAAGAGAGAAGGGATAATAGGGGAGAACAGTGAGGACGTGCGAAAAGCCATTTTTTTTTGCTTTGGTTTTTGACTGACGAAACGTGCGCAGAGATCATCAGAAAAGCGTACCATAGTGTTGAAAAAGTTAGTGGCATCTGTGTAAAAAAGTGACTAGACTAAGGCCATTTAAAACAGGCAAAACAGGACACGTCTCAAGTTTTTAGCCCTACAACATTTTCTTACTAGTACAACGCCCGTGTATTACACAGGTGCTTGCTAATTTTTTTTTTCTTAAAATCAAAATTACTGAGTAAAGGTAGTTGGAAATTTAAATAACTTTTAAAAATATTTATATTATTATATTTATTATGACACTTTTTATTTTGTATCATTTACTTGTGTTATATTATAATAATTTTTAACTTACACCATATAACTAATAAATATATCAATTGAAAAACTATTTTATTTTTCTAATGAATTTTAGTAAATATTATTATATTTATTATTATAAAGATATATACAATTTATTTATTTCATATATACAATATGGATGTCAAATCAAAGATTGTCGAAAGATGATTAATTTAATATATTATATATGTAAAACAGATAAGAAATACAAAAGTTATCGACTTTTAAAATGCATTTACAATTTAATAGCTAATTGTAAAAAACAAATCAAAAGCTAGGGATATATTAGTCACTTAGTGACTCACTATCTAAAACTACAAAGAATTAAAGAGTTATATTAGTACAGTTGATACTGAGTAAAGGTAGTTGAAAATTTAAATAAATTTTAAAAATATTTATATTATTATATTTAGTATGACACTTTTTATTTGTGTGACTTACTTGTGTTATATTATAATAATTTTTAACTTACAACATATAACTAATAAATATATCAATTGAAAAATTATTTTATTTTTCTAATCAATTTTAGTAAATATTATTATATTTATTATTATAAAGATATATATGATTTATTTATTTCATATATACAATATGAATGTCAAATCGAAGATCATCGAAAGATGATTAATTTAATATATTATATATATAAAACCGATAAGAAATACAAAAGTAATCGATTTTTAAAATTATTTACAATTTAATAGCTAACTGTAGGAAACAAATCAAAAGCTATGGATATATTAGTCACTTAGTGGCTCACTATCTAAAATTACAAAGAATTAAAAGGTTATATTAGTACAATTGATATTAAAATACCTACGTTAGCTAAATAATATTTATGGAATGTCCGAACCTAGATTATTAAATATTAATATATGATATTATTTGTCCAAACCTAACTACGAAGCATGATTCTTCGCCAAGTAGGATTCCGAAGCACCAGAAGCAACCACGTAGGCTCAGCGCATTCTGTAATTATATATAGGGAGGATATGTTAAAGGAAGATATGATAAATACAATAAAAAAAATATAATAAAACCTTAAACAAAGTGCACTGCCCACAGCCCACTTTTGATTTCATCATAAATTAATAAAAAAAAAATCTCAAAATTTGAACAAGTCCCAACCCCGGACGTTTCCAGAAAAGAAAAAGAAAAAGGAAAGCAAACAAAGAAGAAGACGACCTCTTGTTGTCGTTGTCGCCGTCGCCGGTGGGTTGTTGAAAATTGGTCGCCGTCACAATTGGAAGAGAAGCCCCAACGTAATTTTGCGTTTGCGTAAGTAATATTTGTTAATTGAAGATGTTTTATCTTCTTGTATAGTAAAACCCTAACTATGAAATTCTCTATTTGCCCCGACTTGTCTCAAATTTATAAGGCGTCGCCTCGCTCTATGTAGCGCTACAGCCGAGGCGACGCCTTTTCGAACCCCGCCTCGCCTCAAGGGTCTGAGGCGACAAGGCCCCGCCTCGCCTCGCCTCGTGCCATGGCGATGCCATGGCGCGCTATTTTAATCACTGATAAATTCCTTGTGTTAATCCTAGTTCGTCCAAGAATTTACCACATATTTTTTCTATTATAAATGAAT